TATTTTGATATTTTTAAAATTGTATAATTTAAAAGTTATTTTTATGAGTAAATATTTATTTGATAATGATAAGATATTTACAATGTATTAGTTTTAAGGATCTTAATCATTAATTTATGTAAACCATAGAAGGTTTGATATAATTTTAAACTATTTTAATTAATTGCAATATTAGACCTGAAACGACGCTAAAAATATAATGATTTGAAAAATAAACGAGATATTTATAAAATGACTTGAAGAATGTATTCGCTTTTACAATAAGTAGTATTCCAAATTTTTTGGGTTATTTTAATATTTCTAAAATGATATAATTAAAAGATTGTGAATAAAATAAAATAAAAGAATTAATATCGTGCAACTTACATAGTCAAAGTTATTTACAAAAAAAATTCATCATTGCATATATTTTTTAATAAATAAATTATCGAACTTTTAAAAGTTGGTTACTTGGATCATTTCAACCCAAAAAACTGCTATATATCATGGTTTGTTTGTCTCACAGATCAAATAAGTGGGAAAACGATTTTTAAGTCATAGTTTTATTGATTATTAATTTATCCAAATAGTTGTTGAATAAATCTTTTTTATAATAAACGATGATCTAATAATAAAATTATTATATTGAATTTAATATGTAGTTTGTTAATATAAAATATTGTTTTTTAATAAATAACTATTGAAAAATTATATTTTCAAGGATCGTTATTAAAATATATATACATACATACATATATTTTCCATATTAGAAAAAAGTAACGTCTTTTAAGGAAAAATATTAAAAGTGAAAAGAAAACAAATAATATTTTTTCAAGAAAATGAAAAAAATTTATTAATTTTTAATATTATTTGCATAATAAAAAATAGTATTTTTTGTAACAGTAATCAAATAACATAACTCTCTTAAAAGAGGAAGACTAATGACACCCCTAACCATATATAACCATTTCCTCTTTTTTTTTTTTTTTTTTTTTTTTTTTTTTTTTTTTTTATCTATATTACATTAATAAGCATTTAGGACAAAATTTTAATTACAACCCTTTAATCATATAGTACTGCTTTTTAAAGTTTGGATTTAAAAAATCTCTTAATCACAACTCGTAAAGCATAATGTACAAGTTTTTGATGTAAGCGTTTTAAACCCAACTAGGAAGGTTTCAGACACCCTTTCCATCACAGTCTTCTATACACTTTCTTTAACTTTTATTTTCTCAATTCAAATTCAAAATGATTGTATTTCTTTGTTCAGTCAATAATTTCAAGTTTTGTAATGAATTCTGAGTAGATGGGTTCAAAAACCCAATACGTGTGCAATTATTTTTTCATTCGATCTTGCTAATACACCGTATTAACCTTCAACTTTATATATTAGTTGACTTACAAAATAACCACACAAACTCATGATTCAAAGCCAAACTAATGTTTCAGAATTATAATTTACCCGCAAAGCATCGCACATGTACACCACTAGTTTATATATATATATATATATATATATATATATAATTAATTCTTTTTTAGTATTTTTTTCTCTTATTTGTTTATATTGTATTTTAATATATTAATAACTATATATTTCTTTTATATCATTTATA